TCCCAATTCTCAAAACACTCAACGCAATGACATCTGAAGAATATAGATTGATAAACGCGTAATGAACTATATTTAAGAAGCCTCTTGCGAGTGATACATGAACGTATCGACCACAATCTAGACGATATAGTTAATAACAGGAAACTAACAGGGATTTAGAAAAGGCTTTGGCACCAGAGAGGCATTATTTACTATATAAACACTCACAGAATAGTATCGAGATGTCAACTCTGATGTACTCTTATGTCTAGTTGACTTTGAGGAAGCCTTCAACAAAATACAACACAGAAGGCTGGCAAACATATTACGTTTGAAATAGTAGGTGAGATTCATTACAAATTAATATCGATATATGAAAGCCATAATACGAGTATACCGACAAAAATATGGCGATATATCTATAAAAATAGGAATACGACAGGGTCTTTTTATTATGTATCCAAAAGATATATTTAAAGAGCTAGTAAATGATATCAATAAAGCCATATCAATTAACGGAACACTACAAATCTCAGATATGCAAGCGATACAATACGTCTTGCAAATAGCAGAGAAGAGCTGCAAATTTTGATTAATCGCACTTTACAGTACTGCCAGATGTATGGAATGGCTCTAAACACAAAAACAAAAAAAGTACGATTTTCAGTAAGAACAATATTGAAAATGGAAAAGATTTACAAAAACTACTCAGATACAATTACGATGTAGTTAAAATTAACAATGGGAACGCAGCGTTGAAATAAAACAAGGCATTGACATAGCCAGCGGCGCTTTCAATAAGATGAAAGCTGTATTATGCAATTTAAAACTAGAAATAGAAATAAGACCTAGAGTATTGAGATGCTTCGTATTCTCTATCCTTTTATATGGAGTTACAATCTGGATAATTAGGAACGCAACCTCAAACAAAATACTTACCAGTTTTTAGATGTGATGTTAACAAAAAACGTTATTAAAAAAGATAAAAAAAAACAAACTTGCAGAACTAATACGTTTAGTGCATTTAAAAAACATAATTAAAACTGGTATTAGGCAGGGATGTATATTATCCCCCATTCTGTTTAATATAAGTTATTAAAAATATTTTTTTAATAAAATATAGTTTTAACAATACGTTTTATTCGTTCGCAAGAAGAAACATCTAGCTGTTGACGAACATATTATCAATACGAAATGACGGCACCACAAACAATATGGTCGGGCAAAACCTTACATGTGGGGATTTAAAAATCAAGTACTTAGTGGTGTAAGAGGTTTTAGTTATGACTTTGATATTGTTCTGGTGAACAAACCAATAGTTCTCCAAACGGAGCGCCTCATTTAGGAGTCAGTGGAAATGTTGTCACTAAACTGATAGAGACAGTGTCTTATTAATAGATTCTTGCCTTTAGGTATGGTTTGATTAAACCGTGTTCTAGATTCAGGACTACCATTCAAAAAAGAACTTAAGAAAAAAGAAAGTGGTTTCAATGGAGAAAAAGTTGCCCTTGTTAAAGATATACACATAAGTCTAATAACTTGATTTGATGACAGGCCTGTAAATATGTTATGTTGGTAAATGTTGAACTATAGAACGTAGATACTTCCGAAAATAAAAAACGTAAAAAGATATTCCATGCCCTTGAGCTGTTTAAATTAATAATCAGCTTACGGGGAAAGTTGACTTATTAGACTCAATGCTGACTCAATCTAAGATTAAGAAAATTGTATAAGTGATTTTTTTTATATGTTGGATCTTGGTGTTGTAAACGTATGGATACTCTGCTTTAGAAAAATGAACAAAGTTGTTATGTGCCATTGTTTTACATCAAACGAGCACATTCTGAATATTTATGTAAATGTGGGAAGTCACTACCAAAAAAGAGAGGTCATCCAGTAAGACAATATTATGTCTTACTGGATGATGATACCGTCAAATTATGTGCGCACGGACAACATTGGACATACGCCAGAATTACAAAAACAGCGCCAACAGTGTCAAATATCTTCAAAGAATCTTACACCAAATGTATTTTTATGTTATCATGAATATCTATTACAATTTCATAACTGTGTTATTTCATAATATATGTATTCCTATATGTTAACATTTAATTAACATATGTTTGTTTAATACATGAGAAACCATATATAAATTTCCAAAAAAACTTTTAATTTGTAGTTAATGCGTGTCAAAGCATATACAAGGTGATCCAGGATTATGTACATTAATTTCTAGAGCTCATAGTACGTCCAAAAGTAAGGGTACTTCTTTATGTACACTTTTTTTATAAAACTGAAGAATAAGGGAGATACAACCCTTTAAAGGGGTGAATTGAAATTCTTTTTTTATCAAATATCTTCCAACTGGTTTTGAATATTAAGGATATTATTTGGATATATTAATTAATATAATTTGGGAGTGATTATAAGACATTAGGATAATTAATTTCATGTCACCACCTACCACATTCTATATTAATACAGGGTAGTTTTGGAGGGTAAGTGGGGATTATTACGTCACATGTTTTTTAATTTGTACATATTTTAAAAAAAAATATTTTAAAAATTGTTTCCTTATACTTTTCTACGCAAAAAAGATGCTCTTGCAATATTTCGACAGATATCACCGTTTTCGATTTATTTAAACTCGAAGGTATACATGTATTTTATTGTAATCGTTATATTTCTTAATATTCATCAAGTATGCTTTGGAATTGACACTTGTGTTAGCAACAACACTTTAATCTCAAGTAGTCTATAAATTGTCAGTGACGTTTAATAACAATTAAATTATTTTATCTACACTTTTATTGTACTCGACAGTGAAATTTGTCTAACACGTCTCTTTTGCTATATTTTTAAATTTGTTTTCCCGCAATATGGCACACTATTCAAATTATGACATGACAGACATACTTTTAGTATTAGGGGAATGTTCTGGAAATGCTGCCGCTGTAAGACGCTATAGAGAAAAGTATCCGATCAGAAATATTCCCAATGTCAGGACTTTTGTAAGTACTGAACGACGACTGAGAGAAACCGGTTGTCTTCAAAGAAGGAATACAGATGCTGGTCGTCGTAGAGAATCAAGAAATGTTCGCGTTGAACAGCAAATATTGGATGCTGTAATAAATGACCCCACAATAAGTACACGTAGGTTAGGATTAAGAACAACTCTTTTCCATCAAAGGAATTGTTACCTGAAAGTAACATGAGTTACTTGAAATCAAAAGTGTATAACACTTCAATTAATACAGTAAATAAGTTAAGAGACAAAATTGAACAAGTATTTACCGATTTACAAAACGATCCAGTAACATTAAATGGATTACTGCGTTCGCTAAATAAAAGAATTAGATTATGCATTCAACAAAATGGAGGACATTTTGAACAGTTGTTATGAAATATTATTTTCGCCATTAATTAAATGTTAAGTATTAATTAAGTTTTCCATTAATTTGTAATATTACTGCTAACACAAGTGTCAATTCCAAAGCATACTTGATGAATATTAAGAAATGTAACGATTACAATAAAATACGTATACCTTAGAGTTTAAATAAATCGAAAACGGTGATATCTATCGAAATATTACAAGAGTACCTTTTTTGCGTAGAAAAGTCTAAGGAAACAATTTTTAAAATATTTTTTAAAAATATGTAAAAATTAAAAAACATGTGACGCAATAACCCCCACTTACCCTCCAAAACTATCCTGTAGTACTACAGGATGTGGTAGGTGGTGACATGAAATTAATTATCCTATGAAAAAATAAGAATTTCAATTCACCCCTTTGAAGGGTTGTATCTCCCTTATTATTCAGTTTTATAAAAAAGTGTACATAAAGAAGTTTATTTTTGGACGTACTATGAGATCTAGAAATTAATGTACATAATTCTGGACCACCTTGTATATTGATTTTGCAAAAAAATATATATAAAGGAATAAACGCACTTTCTATTCATTAATAAAAACCACAATACATATAAATATTTTTGATTTCATGTTTGCAATTACCTATGCAGCAAAGAGCTAAGATGAAGATCAAGATCAATATCAGACCACGCAAATATAATTCTCATTCATAAGGAAGGTAGAAAAGAGAATATTGAAAATTGCAGACCTATAATTATTTTACCATCAATCATAATAAGATATTTACAAAGATTATTAACAGAGTATCAAATGCATTAAATCCTACACACACTAAAGAATATTGAAATACCGCTAGCATTAACCTTTATAGATTTAATTGATGGATTCGACCGTTACTTGATGGAAATTGATTTTATGTAACAATAAAACACTAAAAACTTTGTTTTTAAACTTCCACAAAAATTCATTTTAACTCTTATCACTACAGCTGTTTCGGCTAATTGCATTTCTCAAATGATCTATTTTTGGCATGCGTTTACACTTTATAGTCTCTAATGAAATAGGTTGACGAGGGTACAACTGTTTGTCTCAAGTTAGTCATTCAGAATTATATCTGATATATCAAATATATTTACAATGTGAAAATAAAATTATGTACCTTTGAGGTGGTGCATTAGTTTTGAAAAATAGTATATAAAAATTCTATGAATCTGTCTTCCGTATAAAATTTATTCATCTAACTCTTTAACTGAATTGTCTAAAGCTGCTTTAATTTAAATTATATAATGAAATTTTAAGTTTGTTTTGGTTCTATCATCCGTAAATATATAATGATCTTTATCTTAGATAGCTGGGTCTTTTCAGGAAGGTACAAAGGTTACTGCAACCGTTTTATTGTTTATTCATCATATACAATTTAAATTACCTAGAGTTGTTGTTTTATCGATAGCAATGTGATTAATTGGGAGCTGGCTAATCAAGTTTTGATAAAATATCTTAAACCAATAAAAGGAACTAAGCAATACAGCTGATGATTAAGAAAACCAATTAACACGTTTTATATATAAAATATGTGTTATCACTGCAATAAAAACATATAAATAAAAGAGCATTTTAATTTTCACCGTTACTCCGCGCAGTACGACATGATGTTTCGTGAAAGTATTTTTTTAACGTTAGGCATTATACTGATCGGAGGTAAATCTTATTGTTTAATAATTTTTTTGTCGTTTTTATGATAAGTAATGTCTCAATTTAAGACTAACCAATTTATATGACTATATTTATTAAATTTTTAATTATAGATCATACCTATGAATATTTTTATTTCTTTAATCACCCTTTTTATTTTAACAAAGATATTACTATTAAATTGTTTTCTATTTGATATACACCTTATAAAACATTACTTCATTGTACTAATCTTAATTAATTATGAATATACATTAACTTTAACAATTTGTTCTGCTTCTTAAGTTGCATTTTTAATTATTGAAAATTGGCAATAATTTTGTTAAAGTTGTATGGCAAAGCTCTATCTTTTGTGCTGTTCTGTATACTGTAATTAACTTACAATTTGAACTATTCTCTTAAAACATTTAACGCTATTTTTAGGTGTAATAATACCCGATCCTCATATACCTGCTTATTATTTTGTTTTATTCTTATTCGTTGCATCTCAGTGTTCTTACTCTCAGTTCCAATCTAAGATCTTTGTTGCAGAGAATTGTTTTTATTTTTACAAACGCATTTCTTGCTATTTTTGTCCTAGCTCTTATTTCGGTTGTTTGATCATTATTTTCTGAAATCCAGGTTCCTAGGTATTTATATTTATCAACCCTTTCTATCGGTACATTGCCCAAATGTATGTTTGTTGGCATATTTGTTTTCTTTGATATTATCATTTATTTGGTCTTTTTTATATTCATCTTTAGTTCATAGTTTTCACAGAAACTTTTTGTTTTGTTTAGTAGTAATTGGAGTTGTTCAGCAGAGCTTGCCATAATCACGGTATCATCTGCATATCTTATGTTGTTAATAAGATCTTCCGTTAATTATTATTCCTTCGCTTTCAGATAGTAATGCTTCTTCAAAAATGGCTTTACTATATACATTAAATAGTAATGGGGACATTATATATCCCTGCCAAACTCTTTTCCTGATTTGAATTTCTGGACTAGGTTCCTTATCAACTACGATTTGTACTCTTTGATTCCAGTAGAGGTTTGTTATTATCCGTCCCTATGGTCTATGTTTTTTGTCTGTAGAATTTGGATTAATTTTTCATGTCTTACTTTGTCAAATCAACGTCACAAACATGCACATCAATATTCATATCCATGCATCCTTGAGCTAACACATTAAAAGCAAATAACGCTTCTCTGGTTCCCAGACCGTTTCTGAACCCAAACTGACTATCATCTATTCCTTCTTCCAATTTTCTTTATCATAGTCCATTTTAAGTTTGGACGTCTTCTTAGTCTCTTGCGGCCTTTTTGATACCACAGGGTAATTCTATTGGACCATCTATTGTCAGTTCTGTCGTTAAATATCCCGCATATTGCAATTTTAAAGATTGTAATTTGTAGATGACATCAGTGACCTTAGTTTTCTGTCTTTATTAGTTTATTCTTTTTTGTTTCTCTTATGCATGTTATACTGTTATACCTATCATGCATCGCTCCATTCACCTCTGAGTCACTGTAAGTTTCGGTATTATCTCTTTCTTTAGTGTTAAAGTTTCGCAGCAGTTTTTTAATTGGCAGTACACACTCATCGAATACTTTTTTCTTGTGATGGAGTACAAATTTTAATTTAAATATAACTGCATTTCTGAAAGATGCCCAAGTCAGTTTCATTCTTTTGTTGATTTCTGGGAGTAAGGAGCCACATTTATGTATTAATTGTCTCAGGTATACTTACTAGTCTACTGTCTAGTGTCTAGTCTAAAAGTGCAGTGTTGTTTATTACTATTTAACACTAGCTTGTTGTACATGGTTTTCGTTTTTACCAAGTTCATTTTTGAACCAACTTTATTGCTAGCTGCATTAAGGTAGGTTATAAGTTCTTGTACTTTTACAGAATTATTAGCAATCAGAACAATATCGTCTATAAATCTTAGATGGCTAAGGTATTCTTCATAAATGGATATGACTTTGTTCCACCAGTTCATTTCGCTAAATATATTTTCTAGATTTGCAGTGAAGAGCTTTGGTGATATTACGTCTCCTTGTCGTACATCTCTGGTAGTGAGGAATTCTGAAGTGTTTTTATCAATGTTTATCTTTGCTTTTGCTTGTCTGTATATATTGGCTAAAGTCTCTATGTACGGTTTGTCAATACAAGCTGTATTATTTGATTTCTATTATGTAATTTTGGTGTTTTCGTTTGTTTAAGCAAGAAGAAGAAGAAGAAGAATGATGAATACCTTTTTTTTGTTAGAGATATCTGTTTTCGACTGCATTTTCTACCAGTTTTTCATTGTATTTTTTATGTCTTTAGTACTTTTCCTTACTATCTTTTGTATTGTATGTCTGTCGCTATTTACTTTTATTTTGATTTTTTGTTTAAGCATTATTTTGGTTTTATCAAACAGTTTACTATGTTCAGTTTGTTTTTGCAGGCTTCTAACCTCTTTGGCACCATCAAGGATGATTTCTATTAGTTGGAGCTGTCGATTTACTCATGTGATTTTGTATCAATTGGCCTTTAGGAGTGATCTGAGTTTTCTTCTAGACTTTTTTATTTATACCGGTTACTATTAGTTTTGTGAATACTGCCTAGTTTCAGATCTACAACCAGTTTTTGGTCTGGTTAGACCATGGTCGCTGCCAATTTATTTGTTACACTAGCATCTTTAATTGTAGCAATCTTCTTGGTTAAAATGAAATCGATTTCGTTGTTATTTGTTCCATTTGGTGCTACCCAAATCCATTTAAATTCGATTTTTTCTTAAAGAATTTGCAGTAGGCAATAGTCTTGCATCTATTTTTTTTTGTATTTTTTTCTTTACAAACCGATTCTTGCAGTCATAACTTATTCACGCCCCGTTTTTAATTGATCTTTAACCTTCTCCTTTTCCAATATTCTTTCGGTAGCCAGTTTAACATTAACTTAAGGACACTTACTAATGACATACGTTGTACCATTTTAAGTGTTTTTTCTCGGTGTCATCGATAATTTTTCCTTTAGAACTGATTATTTGTTTTATATGGTAATTTCTAACATTTATTTTTTGCTGAAATTCTAAGTGAACATTCAAATAATTGTTTAATAAATTTTTATGCTAGTCTCTAATTTTGAGATGCATACAATAAAATATTTTTGATTAAAATTTCAAGTATACTATTTTTTTTCGTCATATGCTTTTATTCCATAGATTGCAATGATATTGATTTTTTACAGTAGTTGTTCTCTAATATATTTCTTTGTTTTTCGGTTTATTTCAAGTCAAAAATTACTCTTAGGGAATTACCTATTTGGCTGTATGTGACAATTATTAGGTACATCATTATTAAATGTTAGATCACCAGATTCTCCACTTATAGGGATATTTGGTCTTTTGGTTGTTGGCCAAGCTTCTCTCAAGGCGTGCCAAAATCCAAATGTACAAAACCATAATACGACCAGCAGTGACATATGGAAGTGAAACATGGACATTGAGAAAGAAAGAAATCAATAAGCTATTAGTATGGGAACGCAAAATCCTGCGAATTATATATGGTCCCTGCAGGGACAGCGTGACAAATGAATGGAGAAGCAGATACAACAATGAAATAGAGACTGTCTTAGGGAAAGGAAACATCGTAAAATACATAAAAGTCAATAGTTTAAGATGGGCAGGCCACGTGGTACGGAGTGATGACGACAGACTGATTAGCAATGTATTTTGGGAAAGACCAGATGGTAAAAGATCGACAGGAAGGCCTAGAAAAAGGTGGAAAGACGCAGTCAGGGAAGACCTGGAGAAGATGAAAGTAAGGCCATGGGAAATAATAGCACAGGATCGGAATCAATGGAAGGCAATAGTAAACGCGGCAAAAGCTCACGAAGAGTTGTAAAATCCAATGATGATGATGTTGTTGACCATTAATGAACAAACAACGTAATATTTTCTTAACTTTTGCATAGCTTACTTTCTATTTATATTTCTTATTTTTATCATATAACTGCCTGGTCATCGGTCAAAAAAGGTCGAAAACAACTATAAATTCTAAAGGTCCTTTTTGTTTTCCACTGTTCTCATTCTACCACAACATATTATATTTTAAACAATGTTGGCCATATACAACATCAATGTCTCAAATCTTAATTAACTGAGAATTTGTCCGTAACATATATTTCCCATTTTTACGTTTTATTTCGTCTCATTGCCTAAATGTGTACAGCTATACTGAGAAGGTTAATTATTTGTATCCAACATTTGTCAGAGTCATTGTTGGTATTGTATAATATACTTTGTGTAAGTCTAAAATTAATTGTACTTTTTGTTATTTGTATATTTGGATTTTTTAATATTCTTTTTTTTTTGTTTTTTAAGCACGTAACAAATATTAAAAGAAAAATGCAGAATGTACGAAAAATAAAGGTTTTATTTAATTGATTTCATAAATTAGAAGTAAGCACACAAACAGCATTAAATAAAAAAATATATAAATCAAAAGTAATGAGGATTTAGTAAGAGGTATTGGCTCCTTTAGCTGTTTTAACATCTAGACAACATAGTGGCATACTTCCAATTAAACGTCTTTGTTAATCTTGATTGATATTATCCCCTTCTATGGTTAACAACTATTGCAGGTCCTGATTAGCTGACGTCACATTACAAGATCTCACCCTTCTGTAAAGATGGTCCCAAACATGTTCTATTGGATTTAAGTCCGGGTTGTGCGCTGGCCAATTCAAAACTTTTAAATTTACCTCTTGAAGGTACTTGGTAACGATTCTTGCGACATGTGGGCGTGCATTTTCATGCATTAAAACAAAGTCATTACTAATAAATGGGGCGTAAGGAACAACATGCATATCCAAAATTTCTCTAATGCGGGTTATTCAACCCATATCGGGTTATTCAACCCATCGTCAGGAGCTCCTGACGATGGGTTGAATAACCCGAAACACGTGTCGTCGGGCTATGGTGGAGTTCCGATTGAAATGAAATGCAATCTTTTACTTTCACACATATATATATATATATATATATATATATATATATATATATATATATATATTAGAGTGTTATGATCATTTTTAATACTGTATCCTGTATATGTATTATAGTTATGTACGGCTGATTTACGTTACGTTTGACTTGATGTGTCCTATGCTAGTATTTGGCTAGTTATTGATTTTGTACTCAATCAGAGGCCTTCAGGTCAATAAATCAAGTTTACCATACAGTAGGTCTACTATCATCCATATGATATCTAATGTAATATATCGTATATTGCTATATGCTCAATAACACCTTATTTTTTTTCTCCATCTTAATATATTTGTTATATTCTTCCGTTTCATTTTCTGTGTAGCAGGTTAGGATTCAGTCAGTTGTTTATTGTTCCTACTCCGCTACATTACTTCTTTAAGTTAATAAATCATGATGTGTCTTATAATTAGTCTAATTTTATCCATGGTGCCCTGTGCGATCGCGTTTGTCACTATACTTTCATTATTATGAAGATACTATGTAGTGTCCTTTCGGTAGTCGCCTTGTTTGTTTTTTAAGCTTAATATATTTGTTATATACTCCCCTTTTATTTAGTCTATCGCATGATATGATTCGATTAATTGATTATTCTGTGTTCAGTCAGAGGCCTTATTTATGTCAGTAAACCAAAGTTTATCTTACAGCAAATCTAATTTTATCCATAGTGCCATATGATATCCCATATGTCGCTAGACGTTCAATAATCACAAAGATTCTATGTAGTGCCCTTTTGGTAGTCATCTTGTTTACTTTTTTTATCTCAACATATTAGATATCCCTTAACTTTCCAATGATGTACAAAACCATATGATCCAACTCACTACTAACCACAAAAAGTTTATCAATTATTAGCAACTCAGTTTTTTATCCTATTATTATTATTATTATTATTTCACTCATCTGAAAATGTTCTCATAATCTGACCAATCACAAACCAAAGACAGCTTGTGTTATCGCGAAAACACCAACTGTCTTTCAATTCTGATTGGTCTATCAGCTTCGTGTTTTCAATGACGTAACCATGGATACCGATCGCAAAGCAAAGTTTGACATTTGCCAAAAAAATTATTGTAGCTGTATACGTCAAAATGAGTCGTTTCGGTGGTACTTCAAACGAAGTTATAAATCAAAACATTCTAATACAAGAAAAGCTAAATCTTATATATGGAGACAATTTATGATGTTCTGTGTGGATCGCAACTACAAATTAGTTGCAGAAAATAACAACGAAAGACTAGCATTCATTCTAAAAGACCTTCTCTCATTCTACTGAATTTTTAACCCATCACTTTGTTCATGAAATAGTTTAATAAAATACCACTCGTGATTTAATTTAGCTTGTAAGTCTGTTTTTAATTTCTAAACTCAACTGAGTTTCTTAAAGAAAACACCACTCGTCCTACGGACTCGTGTTTTTAAGCAACTACGTGGTGTTTTTAAGCAACTCAGTTTCGTTTAGAAGTAAATCGACAGACTTATCGTGAAAATTAAATCACTAGTGGTATTACTGTTGATAATATAGCCTCCCTCTATGCATCGTATGTCGCGCGTCGACAAATTAAAACAAATATTACCTTTAGTCCAGACACAAAACAGTTTTTTTTTGCTTACCAAAAACAAGATGTTTTAACCAAATAATGCTTTAAATATAATGAGCAGAATAATTTTAAATTCGATTTCGCTAATGAACTTAAATATTTTGTCCTTAAAAGTAAAAAAAAGTTCAATTTCTCTTGCTAATATTTATCTTATAACATTTTTAACTGTATCAATATGGAAGGGTTTTCTGTAAGTTATAAAATGATCAAGTTACAATGAAATATGCAATTATTCAAATAACGACAAGTGCTTATTTTTAAAGAGACTGGACTAACAAATTGTTTGTTTAGGTGTCATCTTTGCAACGAGGTTCTTTATAGATGTTTATTACATTGCTTCAATTTTGAGCCTTCAGTTTCAGCTTTTAACAGCTCGTTGCCTACATTTCACATTTTTGTATTTTATTTCTCGTATTCAATTATTGTTTGGTATCCGTTGTTAATATAATATTTACATTGGCTTAGTAATTAATCTTTGTTTATATACATTTTTTTTTAATTTTCAGGAGTGTGTCTCGTCAGATCAAGTAAATGTCTACCCAGAGATTATGGAAAGGGAAGTGTTGTCTGCGTTTGTAACGACAATCATTGCGACAGTACTCCACCAGTTAAACCAGTTCCTCGAGATCAATATGTTGTATATACCTCCAATGAAGCAGGTTTAAGATTTGAAAAAGAGGTTAAGCACTACACAAATGCTAAATCAGGAAAACATTGTTTCGTACCGCCAAACGATGATATCTGCAAATATGACTACCAAACCAGCCTCAAAGTATGTGGAGTCCTTACACCAAATCATCTTATACCTAGCGCAAATATCTTTGTCGAACCATCTCTTCTTTATCAAGAAGTATTTGGTTGGGGTGGAGCTGTCACTGACGCCACTGTTATAAATGTTGCTAATATGAGCGCTGCCCTTCAGGAACATTTGATAAGGTAACTATGATTTTGATTTACTTTTATTTTATATTATTTATAATGATTCATTTGTTTTACTTAAAGTAAATATGACTTTTTTGTGGCTGCAACCATACTTTTGTCTTAAAGATGGTAGCTGTAAATCCTAAATATTTAAAGCAAAAAATTTAAGGCTTACCTCCTGATAACCTCACCGAATGTCATACCGTAGACATTCGAATATAATTTGTAGTCATTATAAAATTCTTTATACAGACAATAAAGTTACCTCTATTAGTATCAAGGCAATTCCAAGTCCACTAAAAGAAGAAGACATTATTTTATTCATGTTATGACACTCAGAAAAATGATGAGTGCCTTAAATTATCCATGTCTGCTTGTCTGTCAGTCGATCTGTCCGTAAACAAAACTCCTCCGTTATTAGAATAAATAAAATAGCAAATGAGATGTCGAATAAAAGATCACAACTCAAAGATCCGGCACTTTTCTTAAGTAAAAGTGTTTCAGTTAAATTGGCGGAAAGTTTGAACAAAGGTACACAGCTTTGGTGATCAAAATTCATAGACATGTTGGCCATAGACGGATTATTGCACCAAGAAATTGATTGTTTTTGAATTATAGAGGTTTAAAATATCGGTTTTTATACCTTTTGAATAATACATACTAATTTCTATAAAATACAGAGTTTTAGTTAATACATAAAACTAACTTCAGAAAGTGATTCTGCATAAAAAATAATGGAAGTTCTCTATATAAATGTATGCTGGAAAATACTTCGTTTTCTAAATTATGGGGTGTTAAATTTTTTCTTACAAATGAATCTACATCTACACAAATATTATTTGCCTGACTATAGCACGATAATTACGCTATCTATCCTTTATGGGAAATTGGATAAAAGCCTTATTCGTATAAATACTGGGGATCATCTTCAGTGTCACTGGAATCAGAGTCTCTTTTTTGGTATTTTAGACCTTTATTTAGCAACACTGTTTTGTTTTTAACCGCTTTCTTTTTAGTGGCTTTACTTCTGTCCTTATTGAACATGACTTATCTTTTAACTCGCTTTACTTTTGTCAGCGCCATAGCAAGTATGGCGATAAAATCATAATGACTATTTTTCCTTTTTTTGAGAAGTTATTTTCTTATTGTGTTTCACTTTCGGTATCGCTGGAACATATTAAGTAAAAACAGTCGGAAATTATGTTATATTACTTGTAACTGAAGGATTTGAAACAGTATCTGGTGTTCATCGTAAGATGCTGTTTTAGATTTTGTTCAGATGAGTTCAGTTATGGCATCATTTTAACTAACTTGTTCCTCTTCAGCTATTTAATTTGTTATTAACAAATCATTAGCATTACTAAGCTTTAAATTATCAACTATTTAAATATCTGTTAGTGTTGATGGAAGAAAACTATCTTCAGTGAAAACATTAACATCTAGAGGCCATATTTGTCTTATTCTGTACTTGCTCTGGGCTGTTTTCAATGTAGCTGCAATACAAAATGCAGCTAAATTAATAAGCTTTAAAGATTAACACACATCTTCAATACAACAGCCAAGAAATACAATATGATAATATCAGCAGAAAAAACTTAATGTATGACAACATCTAAATACTTACCACGATGTAAAATCGAAACTAATGAGAAAATAATAAAAAAGAAAGCAAGGCTTAGATATCTGGTAATAGATATAACTAGTTACGTAGATGTTGAAGAAGAATTACAACTACAAATCTTAAAAGCAAGTAAAGCGGCGGTATCTCTAAATGACACAATCTGGAAGGACAAACACTTAAGACAAGACATAAAAACAAGATTCTATCTATCTATCTATCAAGCGAGTCTTCTACAGCTGGCGCCACTTCTCGCATCCTAATTTCCAGTGTTTTCTGTCGAAGCAATCGTCAGTTGTTAGATCTTTGACGGTCATTGCATCGTCGACATCGTCTCTCCACGGGGTAGACCAAGGCGATCCTGTCTTGGTCTACCTCGTTTTTTTCTAGTTGGCGGAGTCCATTCTTCTATTTTTTTGGCCATCTATTTTCAGGAATTATCTGAAGGTGTTCACACCAGTTAAGTCTTTTGGCTTCGATTGTGTCTATTATGTCTAGATCGGTTTCCATTTCTCTCCGAATATCTTCGTTTCTCACCTTATCAAGTTTAGTGAGCTGGCAATATCGTCTCCAGTAGTTTATTTCCAAGGCCTTAATTTTTTATTGGTTTGTTTGGTTTATTTCCCAGAGTTCGGCGCCGTACAGCCCAATGCTTTCTATTATTTTTATATAAATTCTTCTTTTAATTTCTTTTGTTATTTTTTTATTCCATAACAGCTGTCTAGTGGCTGATCTTGCTCGGCCAATCCTGGAATGTATTTCTTCGCTACTTTATGCTTTTGATGTTATTTTGACTCCCAAGTATTTACAGTTATCTGTTGGATTTATAGCTCCCATTTTGATTTATAGGCTTTCTGGTTTTTCTCCTATAACAAAGTATTCAGTTTTTTGTATATTAATTGTGAGGCCCCATTTGGTGTACTCATCTTTCAGTTTTCTAAGCATATAGCCAACATCACTCTCGTCTTTAGCTAGAATGGCTTGGTCGTCAGCGAAGTGAATCGTGTACAATCTATCGTCTCCGATTGGGATGTCCATATTGCAGCACTTTCTTCTCCACAGTGAGAGTGCCTCATTTAGATATATTTTGAAGAGTGCATGTGCTATGCAGCAGCCTTGCTTTAGACCCTTACTAATAGAAATTTTTCTAGTCAATCTAATTCCAGTTTTAATGTTTGCCGTCATATTTTTGTAGAGCTGATATCTTCTTCTTCTTCGTCTAGCCATTCACGTCCACATCTGAACATAAGCCTCTTCAAGTTTTCCTTTCCATTGTTTTTTATCGTACGCTACTTGTAGCCAATTTTTCCCGGCAGTCCTTTTCAGATCATCTGTCCATCTCATAGGAAGTCTGCCTCTGAGCCTTTTGTGTAGGTATGGTCTCCAGGTTAAAATTGATCTGTGCCATTTGTAGAGCTGTTGTACTGCTTGTATATTTTTTTTGCTTATTCCTTGTTTTTTTATTGCTACCGAAAGCATTGAAAGTGGGACACTATCGTATGACTTTGTCAGATCTATAAAGACTATATGAGTTGAAAGGTTGTGGGCTAATCTTTTCTCGATAACTTGCTTTAGAGGGAATATACTGTCCATACACGACCTGCTTGCAAGAAGAACATTCTGTTGTTCTACTTCTGTCATCTCTTTTTCAATTTTATTTTTTATGATTTTTCCATACAGTCTTGAGAGTGAATTTATAACATTTAGCCCCCTGTTTTCCTTTCTATCTTCTTTTTTTGAGATGTTGTTAATATGTGCTTTGTCCACTCGGTGGTAAGTCGTGCCATTATAGAATAAGTGAAGACTACGCCAGTAATTCCCGTAATACTTGTGAGCTATGTTTTAATAATTCAGTTGGTATACCTTGTGGTCCGCATGCCTTTCAATTTTTTAGAGTTCGTATTGCATTCTCGACTTCCTGTACTGTTATTTTATCGTCTTCACTGAATTCCAGTTCGTATGTTGTTGTACTGATGTTCATGAATTGAGGTCTTGTTGCAGTTAAAAGTTGTGAGTAGTGTTCGATCCAAGATCTTTCTTCAGATTTTTTACTGTTTTCCATGCTTCTCTTGATCATGTTGACCCTACATATTTGTAGAGTTCTTTGCATTAACTTTCTCAGCATATATTTTTTGCTTGATTTAGTAAATTTTTTACTTCTCTGTATGATTTTGCATATGTTCGTCTATCATCTGGATCATTTGTTTGCAGCCACTATTGATATGCTTGTTTCTTGTTGTGTACTGCATTGGCGATGTCATTTGTCCACCACAATGGAGTATTCTTTTTGTGCTTTTGGATTGTGCCGAGCGCTTCGTAAGCTGCTTCATTGATTTTATTAATTGATTTATCTCTTTATAGTATCTTGCTGAGAGTAGATCAGTTTGCCATTTTGGCTAAGTCGCAACTTATATAAGAATGACGTGAGTCGTTGTGCAGAGCATCAATATTGTATTTAGGTAGATTTGATTTCAGGGGTTTTGATTGAGCTAGTTGGTTGTCATTTTGATGTAGTAGCCGAGGTCGATACTCTAGGTAACATTTTGATCTTACCATATTACAAGATTCTATAAAGCAGCAATTAGACCTATATTAACATATACGCCGGAGACAAGACCTGACACATCTGAAACGTAATGACTACTAGAAACAACAGAGATGAAAAATTCCGACGAATATTAGAGAAAAGTCTATTGGATAGGAAGAGAAGCGAAAACATAAGAAGAGCATATAATATAGAAGAGATAAATAGATGGCTAACAAAATAGAAACAGAAGTGAAACGAACACATTAGTAGACTGGCAGGGGATAGGATAGAATGAATAAGACGAGATAAGTTACCAAATGGACGAAGAAGTATTGACAGACCCAGAAAAAAAAATGATGCGACAGATAAATGCCAAGACAAATAAAATAATTTAGGAGGCTAATATTAAAGAAAAAACAGGCTTTAAAGCCTATATACATGAACAAAAGAAGTAAAAGAAGAAGACATTAATAAACATGAGTCATTTACCATCACTATGTTTATTTCATATTTACCGAACATACTACTGATATAAATTTTTATTGGGCATTTCTCCGTTAAGACTACGAGCTGTTCATCGATTATACAAAACTCAAAAGGATTGTTTTGATGATAAAAGTACAGTCATTTATAAAGATTTTTCATAACTCGCGTTTGGGTGCAAATTAATCTGCTGTTTTTCTTATTGCTCTTGTTTTTTTATTATCAGACCTTAGGCATACAGCTAGACATTCAATCTTCTGCTGCGACATCGTATCATAAAACATTTTTTACCAAATTATAGGGATTAAAGTTTATTAACATGAAAGGTAGAAACATGTATTGTACCAAATAATAAAAGTAACGTAATGAAGAATTTCACTTTTATTT